GTGGAATTGTTCTGTTGAAGAAGTGGGGAACCTAAAGCTACAAGTGTTCAGCCTCCCCATTATGCCTGTGCTGATGACCTCTAAGGTACTTCTGGAGAATCTTGGGACTCATCAGAATGCATCTGAAAGACAACTGCAGGATGTGGAACTAAGTATTTGCCTATATAGCCCACTAGACTATGGGCTCTAAGAAGGCAGGAGCCATGTATGTTTCATTCATAATGTGCTGATAATGGAGCATCTAGCACGGAAACTGGTAGAGATTACAGATGCAATAAAGAATTTTTGAATAAATGTATTATAATTACAGTGGGGGTCAGCAGCCCCGCTGAGGATAAAGAAGTATCTGTATGTTAGTTTCACCCTTTCATCTTAAAAGGACAGTCCAGGTCAAGTAAAGAATGATCTGAAAAGAGATCACCTAAAAGGGGCCACGTAGCACAGACACTCACTCACTTCTACCTTAAAGTCATCTAGATTCTTTGTGAAAGAGCAGAGCATTGCCTAAATGATTCAGCATAGATGTGTTGGAAACATCCTACAGCAGTTCATATAGAAGATGTTCCTATTTTAATACAAGAAATAATTTTATTAAAATGTTCAGGAAGTGCCTTTTTATGCTCATCAGATCATTTAGCAAAGAAATTCAAGAGTAAATTTCAGAAGATGATTTGCATTATGACTCAGCTCTCAAGGACAGGAGCGTTAATTAGACATACCCTTCCAGTTGCTTAGAATGATGGGACTCTGAGACCACATATACTCAAGAGTCCCACGTGACAGCATGCTTACTGCTGGTCATTAGAGATCAGTGACTCTGGAAACATTGCTCCATTGTTTGACCTTACTGTTTTGAAACAATAAAGCTTTGCTGTCAGTCCCTGAAAGGGAAAGTCCTGTAGATGAAAATCGATGTTATTCAATGAGCACAGAATGGTCCTTACTGTAAATTACAACCTCGTGGCATCTTTCACTACATAATATATGGACACCTACTTAAACTTTCCTCCTTAAAAGAACCTCTATTAAATAATATAACCTGTGGCAGCAAGTCAAAGCCATGCTACACTTAAACTATGTAATCACCATTATGTTCTGTAAGATTATGAGGCTTTAATACCTTTAAAAAATATAAGCACAGAAGAATGTAAGATTTAGACAATAGTCTGATTCTCAGCTTTCAGACACTTCAAAAATAATTGATTTATATTGTCCTCTCTTTTGTCACCCTCCCTTTAAGCTCTGATAGTTGCACTGAAGTCAATGCGCTGTCATCAGTGATGACAATAGAAACCCATATTATTTAAGAAACAAGCCTGACTATTTAAAAATCTAAAACCACAATTACTAAAACTACAGGCCTATCACTAGATAATGATAATGTAATAGATAATTCAAGTACTAACATATTAAACAACCAAACAGAACTAAATTCAGAATCATCTACCACCAACACCTGTACTTTCTGAAAGAAACAAAAGGTCAAGAAAAGAAAGATTGCATCTGCATTCTTAACCCCCTAAGCAGGAAGTTCTTTCTAGTTAGATTTAAAAATAACCAAGTAATACTGTCAGTTAATTGCTACCTTTACACTTCTTGATCCACACTCTGAGCAACACCAGTTGTGGCCAGTTATTATAAAAGCACCAACTGCACAGACGCACAGACACTAAAATAAGAATGTGTGGATGCTACTGCTAAATTAAGATTTTCTCTGTACCAAGAGGTGGATCAGGAATGGATATCAAAAGTAAATCTGTTTGAGAGGCAATAATAAACATAATATAAGAAAGTATAAATATTCAATTAAGTACGACCAACTATTATATTTTTAATCCTTCTGAGTTGTAGAACCTAGTTTCCTCCTGGAGACAGGGACCAAATCCAACCACCCTCATCCGCTAGGTAACCTTTAGCTGTTTTGCAGTGGTGCTAGGAAGGGCTCTGGAGTTTTCTCTTTTAGAACAAGAACACATTGTAATGGAGTATTCTGGAAGGCCAGGAGACTATCATTTATCAGCCCTAACACTTGATTTCAGTAGCATTTTTAGCTACTCTAGTTATTTGGAGCTGTTAGATACAGGTAGATCAAAAACAAGTTTTTCATATCAAGCTAGACAGGATCCCTACCCAAGACAGGAGGAGGCCCATTCTTTTTGTTTCTTTCTTGATTCAAATAATGGGTAGCAGCTAACAAGTTCAGTAGGGACAGCCAGATGGCACACAAACACCAAGATAGTTTAGAGCATTAGGTAACGGTTTCTAAAACTCCTATTCAAGGATCATGACAAATTTTTGTTGTGGTTCCCTACCATTGGTAATCTGAAGGCTAGATCTTCTCAAGGCCTTAAATAATTTATGTGTGGAAACATTGATCCTCTCTCTCTCCCCTTATTATATTCCATATTCAAGTCCTCCCCAAGCTTCTACCCTGTCTTAATCTGATAGTTGAAAGAACAATACTATTGTCTTCTTTAATGAGCTATTAATGAAGTTTGGGAAAGGAGGTTGAAAGTGTCTAGAATCAGAACAGGAGTTTAATTTAATACGTTACTACTTCCTCTCATCAGTTCAACCATTCCATTAAGATTTTTCCAGATGACTCTAGACTCTTTCAAAGACCTTGTGCTCTCACTCTCTCATCAAAACTTTTACGGCAGAGTTTGTCAACCTTTTGGTTTTCATGAATCCTCCCTTCAGTAGCTTCTTTTAGACATTTATTTCTAATCACATCCCCTCCCTGTGAAATGCTAATACTACAGATATGCTGTCTGTCTATTTACACATACTGAGCCATTGGAGAACCACAAACTACTGCAATACCTAAGATACTTTTACCCTCTAAGATCCGATTTTGCCACTTTGGGACAACAGGACCTCTCTTTGAGAATGCATGGTCTGTAGCACTGAAGAATAAATTGCCTTTTGAAAATTCCCCCAACTAACAATGTAAGTGTTAACTATTTTTCACTCTGCATTAAGCAATATTTTAAAATCTGACTACCTTTTGCACCTTCTCATCCTTGTTTGTTAAATGAGATTAACATTGAGGAATCTTAACTAATCAAAATGTGTGTGTGTGTGTGTGTGTGTGTGCATGTGCACACACATACACATGCATGTGTGCACACTGTTAGTAACTGCAAAGCACCTTTAGCTAAAATATAAAGAAATAAATCCAGGTCAGTGTTTGAAATCTTGATAAAACAAAGCATTTATCATACAGACTAGACAGATGTACAAAGTTTTAATAATGAAAACTAAAATGAGATTATTCTTTTTGAAAAAAATGGTATGAGCCACATGGTTTGGTTTTAGTTAAAATCTTGGGTTAATGGGCAATGGTTACATACTTTTCATTTTCTGTCCTTGACTTCTTGTAACTGATACTTCAGAGGTTAAGGATTACAAAATTATGGCTATGAAGTCATGCAAATTATAAATGGCATTTTACTCTCTGAGGCTAGAAGGGCATCTAAAGTCCAAACATGAACAAATCTAAAAAGTCAATTAAAAGACTGTCCCTAGTGGAAATATTAATGAGTAAAGCAAAACTTTTACGAAGTTTGGTCTTGAGCCTAAGCCTTTTTTTTTTAAGTCCAATAAGGAATTTTTGTGCTGTAAGATGGCAAGTCATCAAAAATGCACTGCTAAAGTATTTCACATAAAAACACTGTGATAAAGTAATTCTATAAATATAGGGGGATCTTCTGGCCAGGAGGCAACTCTGTGGCTTCCCTGTACCTCCTCCACATATTTACACCACTTCAGATGACTTGAGCACATTAAAATCCACAGTCTACTTGTCATTAGAAAATATAATAAAGTTTTTGTTTTTGTTGTTCCTAAAATCAAAAGCCTTACAGTGGAGTCCAAATTAAGGAAATACCAAGAGAGAAACTAGTAAGGAAATAAGATGGTAAATATGAATTTACTGGAGAACACCCAAATATCGCCAGCCCATACAGCAAAGTCATTAAGAATAGCTTGGTGATTCCTTAGGGAACGTGTTAGAACTTTTAGCAAGCAGACAGCCATAAAGATACTGTTTATGAAGAAAAAAAAAACCCAAAAGCCTAAAGTTCACTGCAGGTAGGTGGCAGAAACGGCTGCAAAGTACTGTCAACGTTAGTTGTCCTTGAGAGTAGAGGAATAAATCAACTTCAGGACTTGGTGGAAGCCCAGGAAGTAAATAAAAGTCAGTTAAAGTATCCAGGACCCAATGACCCAGGTGTCCTCCAGAGTAAGAAAACAAACAAGCTTGCTTTGGACCTTAGGTTAACTGTTTAAAGAGCTTTGCTCCTTGCAAATAGTTAAGTCTTCTGCGCAAGGAAACGGACAGCAGAAGCCCAGTCCCTCTGTGGTATTGATGAAACCCCCAAAGCCCCAGTGTCCCTGAATCTGAGTTTCTGAGCCACGGCTGTACTCCCCTGGGAAAGTCACTTCGGGGAAAGAAAGTACAATGTGCTGCACATCGCCATCTCCTCAAAATAAATAATATGTAAGTCTTCACTCTGTTCCAGATATGACTGCGGTACTGAAACGCGTCACTCCCTCTCTTCCTATTAAAATAATTAGAATAGAATAAATCACCCAAAGAAAGCCACTTCTGAGTCCCTCCACCTATCATGAACGCCCCATCTATCCGAGTTTCAAGTTCGAAAGGTTAAGAGTCTGACCGAGGGGCGGCGCAGCCTGCGACTCTCTGTAATTCCGGGATCCTGGCATCAGTGACTATTGAACACCAAAATGACTTCCTCAGGGTGCAGCGAAGTGAACCACCTGACCCTTGCGATCCCCTCCAGCGCGGGTCCCACACCCCGCAGACCCATTCCGGGAAAGGGGGATCTCGCAGGACTGGGGACAAGCACGGGCCCCGCCCCCCAAGCCCGCGCCACAATACATTCACCAGGGTTCACAGGAAAATTTTTTAAAAAGAAAGAAACAATGACGGCAAGAAAAAACAGTGTTTCATATTAAAAATAAAATGAGTCTCTTACCATCTCGCCTGAGATTGGCGTTGCGCAAAGCTTTGATGGATGCGCTCTGCGGGGTAGCAGAAGTGTCCCGATAGCAGCAAAAGTTTGCGCAGACTAGAGTGTAGACGAGGGCGAGGCGGTGCATTGGGATCAGCGACCTGGGTGCAGCGTCGCTCCAAGGAAAAGCCGGGACCCGCTCCGGGAGGCACGCCCGCCGCGCTCCGGCCGCCCCGCTCGCCCGCCGCCAAGCTAGTCGCCGCGCTCCGCACGAACTTCCTGCATGCCGGGCTCTCCGAGCGCGTGTGGGTGCCGCACTTCCTTGTGCTGTGCGAGCTGGTGAATGGTGACGGGACGACAACAGGTTGGCGTCTGTCCGCCCCCTCCGGCGGCCAGCCGCCGCAGCACAGGCTGCAGGGGGCGGGCGGCGCGGCGGCCCCGGGCAGGCGAGCCGAGCAGCCGCGTCCTCCGCCGCGGCGGCGGCCCCCGAGCTGCGCGTCCCCGGGCCCCGATGCCCACTCCTCCACCGAGCACGCCCAGTCCGGCCTGGGTCAGGACGCCCCCCACCTCACTGGGAGAAAGCCTAGCCAGGAGGCTGGAAAGGGGACAGGGACGGGGCGGGCGGCCAGAGGTGGGACAGGGTGGAATCCCAGGACTTTTCCAGGGGTGCCTGGCCCATCCGCCTTCAAGACCTGGCCCCTGCCTGGTGATGGTGGGCTTTGGGGAGGGTACTGGAGTTGGGAGTGTTTAGTTTACAGTAACCCAAATCAGATTCTACTTAGTTAAGATTTCAATCCTGTGTAAAAAAGTGGAAAAGCGTAATAATTCTGAGTTTCCTTTGAACCCCTGTGAGACTTTAGCTGAATAAGGATAATTTCGGGGGTGGGAGCTTGGGCCCAGGTCTTTACAGTCTCACAGGGCTCTGGACCCCATACGTGACGAAGCCTACAATAAATCATCCAGGGGGTTTCAAACGTCCCATCCCCACCTCCTGCACAGAAGAGGCTACACATCAGGGTGGGGTTGAGCAATTAATGCTGGCAAGGTGGGGAAGTTGAGAGAGAACACTGTGTTTTTGCTTATGGTCCAGAAGAAGAGTAGGGAACATCCAGCCTCTAGGCCTCCCTATTCTCAGTATGTGGCAGCTCTGAGGTGCAGAGGAGCTGCCTCTGGATTCCGGGAACTTATACAATCATGCATCTATCTCCCGGGGAGGGGACTGGTTTGAAAAAGGATTAGGTCCCAGCCCTGCTGCTCTGCTCTACTCAGCTAGCACTGTCACCTTGAGTAAATTATTTGATCTCTTGAGCCTCAGTTTCTTTACTTATAAATGGTGGGTAGCAATTCTTAGTTTATGTGGTTGTGGTAAGAATTATATTAAATAATTTCAGCTTATTGTTTTGTGTGTAGCTGGGTACAAATCCATATTCCCATGATTTCTCAGCTGCTGATCCTATGAGATGTAGAAGAGACATTCTCCAGTCTCGTTCTGGCCTTCCAGCTCCTAGAAATCTGGGGTGTAAGTAAGTGCTACCTCTGTAGAGAGAGCTGGAAGCGGCCGAGAAGCTCAGGAAGTACAGGAAAACACGGACTTGACAATGACACCCTCCAACTCTGACTAGGATGTGCATGTGTACTTACCCACATACTTAAAGACGAACGTGGTTCATCTCTTCACCTTTTGTCGAAAACAGTGTTTTATAAACTGCGAGTCTGTGGGTTGTGAAATCAATTTCAAGACCAGCAATTATTTTTTTATGAAAACTATTTTTTTAGAGCAGTTTTAGGGTCACAAAAAAATTGGGTAGAAAGTACAGAGATTTTCCAGAGACCATTTGCGCCAACACATACATAGCCTCCCCGATCATCAGCACCCTCCACCGAGGGGTATGTTTGTACAAGTGATGAGCCTACACCAGCACGTGATAGTCGCCCGAGGCTCACATTATAGTGTGCGCTTGGTTACATGTGGTAAATTTAAAGGTTGTGTTAGGATTCACTCTGAGTGCTGTACAGTCTATGGGTTTGGACAGATATATAATAACACATAGTCATCATTTGGTATCATACAGAGTATTTTCACTGCTCTAACAATCTGTGCTGCGTGCAGCTTTATTTTTTAAATAAGTGAAAAGGAATACAATAGCTTAGAGATTTAATTATCAGGGTTCATTGCAGACAATAACATTAGGCATTCTTTCATAATAAATTGTTTCAAATACACCCACACAAATATAAAAGGTATTTCTGTGGGGCATGACCAAAAAAGTTTGAAAAACCACTGGGAAAAAAAAAGGTTTGATCACATTGTCTCAACAATATAATAAATTCTGGAAGAGGCAACAAGGAGAGACAACAAAACCTGTGTTTGCATTCAGTCATGTGTTCTTTCAAAAAGTATTAATTATGCATTAGATTCTCGCTTGCCAGGCTCTTGTCTAAAAATCCTGGGGATGAAATAGTGAATGTGAGAAATAAGGCCTCCAATCCCTAGAGCTCACATTTTAGTGGAAGAGAGACCATAAACAACTATATATATATATATATATATCTGTATTAATAAGAGAAGAGGGTCAGATATTGATGAAATGGGAGCAGAGGCTAATTAAAATATGGTACCATTTTAAAAAAGTGGTTTAAAACTTTCTTTAACTTTCATAGCTAGCTCCTGAAAGGACAATATAGGAAAAATGAGTAAAGTGAAAGTGGCTTATGTTATTATAACAAGTATCAAAATGTTACAGGATTACTTGTCTCAATATTATACATAAAATGTTGAATTTAAAGTATTCAAAGTAGAGTTGTCCAAGACACTAATAATGTGTGCTCACAAGGCATGGCAAATCCATAATGTTAAATATTTTAGCTGAGAATAGGAAAGGATGTCACATATAATCAGTATGCTCTTGATCTTTTAATACCAGCAAATATCCAGAATCAATGACAAAAGCAAAATATTAGGGAGCTGTGCCTTAGCAATTGTTCTGAACCTGGTTTTCAATATTACGTAATGATTAATTCTTACAAATTAGGTTGATTATACCAATTAAGGTGTCATTGTACATAGAATATGTGCTTAAAAAATATATATTTAGAGGTCTGGTATCAAAATAGAAGAACAGTGTTTTAGTTTATTTTTCACGTGTATCTTTAACTTGCCAGACATTGAATTTGCAACTATATTTAAATGCTTAGAGGTCAGTTAGAAGAACATTAGCCAACACAATGAAATCACATTTATAAATATTTATTACTATTCAGAATAATATAAATCCATTATTCTATATTTAGCCATTGTTCAATGACATTCATACAACTATAGAGGATACTTTTATTGTTCGAAAAAAATTTTAATGTGAGAGCAACTTAAAATAGATCCATGTAAAACGGCATTTAGCCCAAATATTCCAGCAGTAAGAATTTGATAAAAGGGTAGGTTAGGATGTGATACTATTTTTTATCATATACTCTTTCCCTACATTAATATGACACAGGAATGGTGTTTTCCATTACATTTGAAAATATTCTTAGTTTCTATCACTAGCTTATAAAAGCCACAGTGTAAAAGGAATGAATTGTGGTAGGTTTTATTTCTGCAAGTGGCTCACACCAATATTCTTTTAGACTAAACTTCCATTAGCTTTTAACTTAAAGCTCGTTAACTATAGTAATCTTGTTATGAAGACCATTCAAATAGAATATACCTCTTTTATTTATCCTCCCCTCACTACATCTCAGAAAAAAAAATCACTCTGATGTGAAATGCTTATTGCTGCTCTGCCAAAAAAAACCATTGAGTTTTGTCAACATTAAACTCTTATGAGACTTAGATCCTTTCCTGTAAAATAGGAGCGTTAGACTAGAATTAACTTCAATACTTCAGTCAGAAGTCTATTTTACTTTTTAAATCTTCACTCATTTTTTGTTTTTTTTACCATATACTATATATGTATATGTATATGTATATGTATATGTATATGTATATGTATATATGTAGCATTTTAGGAGTTTCTAGAAAGCCTAGAATAAAATTTTCTACAAATTTTAATGAGCTATAATTTTGAAACTTCAATAATTAACACTATATACAATAGTGCCCTCTTATCCACAGTTTTGCTTTCCACAACTTTAGTTACTCACGTTAGCTGTGGTCTGGAAACAGATGAATCTCCTTCTGACAAATATTCTGAAGGTCAATAGTAGTTTAGCGCTACGTCAGAATAACTATGTCGCTCATCTCACTGCATTTCATCACAGCAGCGTTTTATCGTCTCACAGCATCACAAGAAACGCGAGCACAGTACAATAAAATATTTTGAGAAAGAGAGAGAGACTGCATTCAATAACCTTTCCTGCAGTACACAGCTGCCCCTTCAAGAAATTGAATTGCTTGGGTCCTCTTATTACGAATTTTTTTTTCAATAAACATATTGGAAAACTTTTTAAAGATTTGCAAAGATTTGAAAAAACATTTTCTTTCCTATTCCTTTATTGTAGGAAGACAGCACATAATACATAACACATTAAATATGTATTAATCGACTATTAATCGACTTGTTAATCTGCTTTTGGCTAACAGTGGGTTATTAGTAAATTTGGGGGAAGTTAAAAGTTATATGAGTATTTTCAACTGGGCAGAGATTGGTACCCTTAAACCCCACATTATTCAAGAATCAAATGCATTATAGTTGTTCTATTTTGTTATTAGTTACTGTTAATCTCTTACTGTGCCTAATTTACAAATTAAGCTTTCTCATAGGTATGTATGTACATGAAAAAAGAAAATATAGATAGGGTTCAGTACTGTCCTCAGTTTTAAGCATCCACTGGAACATATGCCCTCTGGATAAGGGAGACTACTGTAATAAAATAATAACTCAGAGTTTGATCATCATCTAACAATAGTTACATTTATTTTCAACATTTTATTTTCTCTGAAAGAAATCAGTAGTTCTAATGCATGAAAATCTGGATAGGAAGAACAGATGTTTGTGCTGGAATTAAGTAAATAGATGAAAGACAAATGATTAAAATTTTGACAGATTTAAAAAATAGACAAAATTAACTCTGATGCTTTAAGGCATCTATCAAAATGATTTTGAGCTATCATTTGGCTCAGAAAAACTGGATTAAATTCAGTTTATTTTCAGAATTGAACAAAGGATAATGTTCAAATATTTGGTCAACAAAGAATGGAAGTTAATATTCATAAGAAAGAAAACAGATAAATTGTTCCACTTGACTTGAAAGACCTAGATTACTAGCATGGTTACAGAGTGTTTTACATAAAGAATGTGCAAAATATATTATTAAGTTATGTGACTCATCAACACCTGATTTTTAAATCTATCCAATGACTGTCATTTAACAATGAAAGTTATCCTTTTATTAAACGT